AAACTGTATGATATTGATATCTTATCAAGAGGTTAACGATCGGTTGCCATTGACAGCTGTCAGTAATTAACAATTATTAAGAATATATAAGAAGAAGCGTTATTCTAGGGGTATAAACAATGAATTCAAAGCTCTATTACAAATATTTATTCATCAATTGATAATTTTATCACCTCAAAACACAGTTCCTTGTTGTATCGATGTTACACTATACCGCCTACTGTAATTAAATGTCTCTATATTTAGTAGAAGTATGAAAGTCAGGTCACCAACCCTGTAATTAAAAGTACCTTGGTATTGGTTAGACCTCCTTGAAGGCAACATACCCGACGGATGCCAACGCCAAGGCGAGTTAATAACCATGTGCCACAATAGTGGCGCGTAACAGTTATAAGTTAATACAATAGAACAAAACCTATTTGGTACGGTATCAACACCCAGACTGTTCTGGGACCTTCGCTGCTTCTTTGCCAATTAACGAATTAAAACAATGCGAAATCGTACAAAGCGTTTCACACCGCGTCATATCATGAGACAATTGCCTTTTATGTCCGTTTAAAACCACGTTTATCCTTTTCGGACACCGTGTAAATAATAAACAATATTGTCATTGTATGTATATTTTATTTACTTTCAAATGTAACACTCGGTTTAGAGAAAGCGTGGTATCGTGCATTCGTGATCACAATTGGCCTCGATCCTCTAATCCGTGCAGTGCATCAGGATTCTCACCACGGAACAATATCATCAACGTCAAATGAATATTCTCTCACATGCCCATGAACATTGGCAGTTGTAAAAGGTCGCTAAAGCTATTATTGTCTCGAGTAATTTATTTTTATCAATGAATTTGATACGCGTCACTGGTTGTTACGGTATAACTTCGGTGATATACATTTAGTTTGCTATTTATTTATTGAACCTTTTATTATTAATCCGTTTATTTGTCATTACTACAAATGTTTACTAAGATTCACATGCTCTGAATTTACCTGGTTACTTCTTATCTTTTAATAAATCGCTTATAAGATGTTAAGAACATTTTCCTAGTGTAATAATTCACGGCCTCAAGTTATGTTTCTGGATAAGATGTTAAGGAGGTTATATCGAAACCGTTATCGCACATAATTAATCTTTGCATTTCCGATGGTATATTCCCTACTAGTCTCAAGAAAGTAGTTATTAAACCCATTTACAAAAATAATGACAAGACTGATGTTAAAAATTACAGGCCTATTGCAAAAATACCAGTTTTTGCAAAAGTTATTGAAAAAATAATATATAATTCCATTTACACGTATTTAGAGAAGTTTCAGTTACTATGCAATGAACAAAAAGGATTTAGGAAAAATACTAATATTAATATGGCACTATTTGACCTGCTATCAAGTATTATAACTTCTGTGGATAAAAGAAATCCGGTGTGTTCGATCTTCACGGATATGTCAAAAGCTTTTGACTTCGTAGATCATCAGATCTTGCTGCAAAAGTTACACGCATACGGCATTAGAGGAAACATTCATAAACTCCTAGAATCATACCTAAGTGATAGAACACAATGTACTGAGATTTCCAGAATTTGTCCTATAAGCAAATTAGAAACTACATATGTCTCTGAAGCGAGATCCGTGAGGTATGGTGTGCCTCAAGGTACTGTACTCGGGCCCCCACTTTTCTTAATCTATATCAATGACCTCCCAAGAAATTTGAAAAACAAAATGGTACTTTTTGCAGATGACAGTACGGCTATCATAGAATGCACTGATCCAAACGAATATCGAAATGAGATCAATAACTCGCTAAATAGCATCATTAATTGGCTAAATAATAATAATCTTGTGATCAATTTGAATAAAACTAAAATTATACAGTTTCATCAACGACGTGAGAATCCACCCCTTAATATTACCTATGATGAGTGTAAAATAGAAGAGGTTACGAGTGCAAAATTCTTGGGTATAACAGTAGACCATAAGTTGACTTGGAAACCTCACCTGGAAATGGTTTGTAAGCGACTGAGTAAATCTGCGTATCTATTGTTTCAATTATCTAAGAGAGTTAATTCTGAGACACTGTTAACAGCCTATCATGGACTTGTAGTCTCTATTCTCCGTTATGGTGTTGTTTTCTGGGGGCAATCAACAAATAGAGAACTAGTATTTAGGATGCAAAAAAGGTGTGTAAGATCCATGTGTAATTTAAAGTCAACAGATAGTTGCGTTCCCTACTTCAAGAAATTAAAAATATTAACGTTACCAGCTATATATATATTAGAAACTGCACTATTTGTAAAATCAAATCCACATTTATTTACAAAGTTTTCAACAGTTAAGAAGACCCCCATTCGGAGTCAATATGAAAATCAACTATGTACGTTGAAATGTAATACTGCGTTAATGAAAAAGAGCTTTTTTGGTGTAGCACCAAAAATTTTTAATAAAATACCCGATGCTATAAAATGTATGCCATTAAAGAAATTCAAAAAGTGTCTTCACAAGTTATTAGTTGAGAAATGTTATTATGCCTTGGATGACTATTTTAATGATAATACTATTTGATTATATTCTGTAATTTTATAAATTATTATTATTAATGTTGACTTGATGACTATTTTAATTTTGGATGACTATTTGATTAAATTCAGTAATTTTATTAATTCATATTATTACATTTATTTAAACGCTTTGACATTGAAGTTTACATCTTGACGTTTAATTTTACGCTTTGACATTGAAGTTTGACATCTTGACTTTTAATTTTACGCTTTGACATTGAATTTTACATTTTTAACATTTTGATATTATTATTTTTGACATTTAATTTTAATTTATGCCATTATTGAAAATCTCTAATGTTCTTCAAAGCGGATATTTTGTGGTTTACATTATTTTATTAATTTGATTTAAAGAGTCGTCAATGTTCAATGAAATTGCAAATTCTTAACGAGATAAATGGTCAAAATTGTGTAATTGTAGTGATGTGTTTACTGTTTATTGTTTATGAATCTATGTCAAATCCTTGTTTTTTTATTAAGTATATTGCATGTATTGTACGCCCTAGAGGCAAAACATAGCGCTCTCAACATATTACATAAGAACTTATAATGTACCTATGTTTTACAATGAATAAATGAATCTGAATCTGAATCTGAATCTGGGTCGCCGAAAAAGTGGTGGAATAAAAAAAGATTGGTTCAAACCTTGAGCCGCCAGCACAAGGTGAATAAGAAGACATCGTACTCCTCAAGGTGAAAATCTTTTAGGTTCGGTGACTTGGTCATCTACTAAGCACAACCACGACCGAACGTAGGTTTAGTTTGGTAGGTAACTCACACCAGTACAAGTAAGTTATAGATAGGTTTATCTAGCAGTTACTGTTATAGCCCTCCCCCCTTCCTGGACTGCTTCTAGTTTGTTCGAATCAGATACCGCATCTATTAAAAACTGACGCTATTATCAATTCTGCCGCGTTGATTTAAGATGCTGTCCAAGTGCAGCCCACTCCTAAATTGTAAGTAAATATCTTACTTCCGACTTACTGCCTTGTATGGGTACATTGAAAGCCTCACTGAAGATGGTATAGTGACATCGCTAATAATGATAGATACATGAACTTATATGCACAATAAAATGCGGAATTAAAGTCTTCATTGACTCTAAGATATGTTACCGGATCTAGAAAATATTTACTTTGATAAAGATTATATCTTAAGCTGATCTCCCGAATATACTTTTTCTATATTTTTAACAATAAGGTTAGTGTTGCGTAGCCTCTGTTACCTAATGTACTTGCAGAGTGTACTTTCGTATGTTCTTGTTTAACTAGTTTTAATCTAAATTGTAGATGTAATATAAATAACTGAAGAACGATCCCATTTTGCTATGAACTTAGGTACTTAATCTTTATATCTAACAGGTATTATGATGATTAACACTACGGCCTACGAAGGAGAACATAATTTCGCATTAAAAATAATTTTCATAGTACTCATTTTTAGTTTTTGGTGTTGTTTATGGTGTTCATTATTGGGATGTAGCCACAGCTTTATGTGTCGGTGCAAAGGAGTCTGCCACGATCTCCTTTAATGACTTAATTGATGATTAGAATATGGTTCTTGAAAAGGAAGTAGTAATTAAAGTTATAGATACATCTCCTACAGTCGTACCTGACCTAACTCCGATTAATTGATCATTTATCTTTATGAATGTTGATATTCTTGACTTTCATAGATCTCGATACTCATTTAATTGCCATAGGATGTAGTTTTCCGTCGTATCATAATGGTCATGAACGTAATCAAAGCTAGCCCTAGTGTATAGTTATAGGCACGAGGTGTAGGTATGTGTGTGTTTGTGTTGTATTCAGGAAACCCATGGACCATTTCATAATAAGTGTAATGACAATGTTCCGTTGTTAAAGGCACACAAAGGCAAACACGCTTCAACTGGTTCCACCGTTAAATACCTGGTGTTCCGATCCGATCCTTCCTATAATGTTACGATACCTGCTTCTCTATTTGATTTGGACACTTGCGTAACAGTTTCGAGACTAATTAAAGCATAAAAATATCTTAAGAAATTACTCGGTTTAAAGTAGCATAAATTGCTTGCTTCCGTTACTTGATGGTTAAGTAGTTCATTCTAGTGAATGGATCCGTTCTGATGACGTCTTTTCTGAAAAGTAGGTGCATCTTTATTTCACTTTAAAACAATTAAAATATAAATCACTGTCATTATTTTGTTGTAAAACGTAGCACCCATCAAAAAATTCTCATGTATTGTGCCTTTATCGAAGGTACGTTGTGCGGTGTTCCACAATTTAACCGCTGCACCAAGCATGCAGCGAAATATAAATAAGATTGGTAGATTAATTCAGACTGCTAACCCTGTTACCTGTATTTATGTAGGTACCTAGGTCTACTCGTAATTCTTATAGCTCTATATAACATGTCGTGCAGAACAGAATGTAATTTTAATAATTGTTCTTTTGTTTTATTACAGCACTCACGCATGGCGAGGAATTTGGCTACGATGGCAATATTGGTAAGAATAAAAACTAACTATAGGTACTCTAGGTACGAGATTGAATGAGGTTATCACGTAAAAATGTGAGGTTTCACGTTCACTTGTTGTTGCACCTATTTAGATCAAAGATTTAGACGTGCTCGAAATTGATCATTATTAATTATTCTACCAATAAACAAATAGGAAGACGTCATTATCTTAACAGGTGCAAAATTATTCCAGTTTATATTTAATTATTGCTTATCTAAAAGGTAGAGTCCGTTTGTCATCCAAGTAGATAACTTGTTTATTTATGGTTATCAAGTTTCTCCCATAAATATAACATAGGAAGACTGAAGGAGCTAAGGGCCTAATGAAAGGGTTTATGATTCATTTGACAGTTACATCCTGCACTTATAGGAAATGGGCATCGTAGTACTGGTAACACCTGTGCTTTCAATGACCACCTGCGACTTGCGATTGCGACGATTAATATCTGGAAATCAATTTCGTAGTTAATATTTAGCATTGTAGAATGTACCTAGATAATCTAAAGTTAGATAAGTACAGTGTGGTTACATTTTTATACTTTCAACATAATTTATAGTGCATTAGAATGTTGGATTTAATTTCCTACCAACATATTTATCACACTTTGTAGTTTATAATTATTGCTGAATAATTTATTAACAAATGCAGTGACAAAGTTTCATAAAGATAACATAGAATTATTATTTAAATAAAAAACAAATAATGTAATGTTCATGTTATTAGATCACACTAATGATACGAAAATAGTTTTAAATACCTAAACGGCACGCTATTTACAGTTTTTACATGTCCCGTTTTATTCTAAAAATATCATTGCATTGCGTGTGCTTTTAGCCTTTTAAATCGGAAATCTAATTGTTTTGAAATTGAAAGTTATCGCACCAGTGGAATGAAGGCTATATTGTTGTTTAGCGTGCAAAAAACCGTAAAAGAACAGATTTTTTTCTTCAACCCGATTGTATACGCAATCTAATAGCGGGTACCTGATTAGAGTTATTAAGGACAATCGCCCTGATACCTAATCTTTTTGTCACATTTAATTGATTTTATCTCTTGATGAGAACTAAACTTGATGAGAACTGAATGTACCTACGAATTAATTCATCGTTTTATTGGTAGAAAGTATATTGTTTGATTTCCGGACCAGGAGGCGTCTGGGGTTCGATTCCTAATCCCAAGTCAAAGTATAACTGGATGATTGAAGTTCTCAATAGGTAACTTACATAGCATATGAAAAGGAGATTTGTGGCAATAGGCTCAAAATCTATTAGATATGAGGCATGAAATCTTTAATCGGTGACAATGTTATGCTTTGTAGGTAGGTAACATACTTACAATTTACTATTGTTTTCCTTAGGTCCAGAATATTGGGGCGAGAGATATAGAGAGTGCGCTGGTAAACATCAAAGTCCGATCAACATCAACGTACTCCGAGTGAAGCAAGTTACGTTACCTGACCTCGTCCTCGTAGGCTTCGACGACTCCATTGACGACGTCCACGTCACCAACAATGGACACACAGGTATGAACATTTCACATTAAGAAATACCAACGTAACATGAGCAATAAAATATACAGACTGAGAAACATTTTCGCCTTTGTAATTTTGTTTCAAGTTCGCAAACAAATTAATAAACAAATTAAGTAGGTAATGTAGATATTTAGTCAATACAAAATGAGTACATTTATAGACCTAAGTACATTTGTCACCACTTGACCAAACGAAGTAGTGCTAGCCTGGTAGGGAATAAGACACCTAAATAAAGTAACCCTTTTAAGTAAATATTTATTTAGGTAGGTAGGTATCTAATTCCAAAAAAGTCATTGTGAGCTAAATAAGCAATATGAATAATGTGGTTTCTTGATGTAAACACCCAGGGAAGGTCAATCACTTCGCCAGTGATTTACCTATTGCCATATTAGTATATTGCCATTATTGCCATACCAGTGATTTATAATAATTTATTATTAATCACTGGTATGGCAATTAATATGGCAACATGAATATTGTGTGGGAGAGCCATGCACATGCTTCTGTACGATGGCCAATGGGCCGACTCGACCGGAGTGATACCACAGCCTCACAGAAAACCGACGTGAAACAACGCTTGCGTTGTGTTTCGTCGTGTGAGTGAGGTTACCGGAGGCCCAATTACCAATCCTCGAATCCCCAACAATCCTTAAAATCCTAATCCCCAAAAGGCCGCTACACTTTTAACGCTTCTGGTGTTTCGGACGTCCAGAGTAGCTGAGTAGTCTAGACCAGACCATTGGCACGCCACAGAAGTATTAAGAACAATATCTATGGGTGGCACCGATTGCTGACCATCAGGTGGTCTGTCTGCTGTTTAACGGCTTATCCCATAACAAAACAATAAGTAATACCTTATTAGTTTTATTTATGAAAATGTTTCCACATTCCCATAAACTAGTGACAAATACTTACCTACTAATGTAACATGTTTTAATTGCTATTGTTGCCTGAGTTTGATGGCTATACATTTAAATAAGTATATTTCTTCTAAATGATGGTTTGTTTAACTTTTTACATCTTTAGCAGCCATGTTTCTAATAACATTATGATTGCATTGTGCTGTGCAGTTGATACCACTTGAATTACTTTATGCATGACCAACATCCTATGGGCGATGGAGTCATGCTTTTTGTAGCATAACAATGAATTGCTTATTAAATGTTTTGTGATGTAGAGATCTAGTAACAATTTACGTAAAAAACGGTTATTACGGTGACCTAGATTTCCAGTGTTCTGGAGTGTTTGATGATCTCGACGAGAAAAAAAAGTTGCAACTGCAAGCTTATTATTACCTTTTAAATAAATGGATTAACAGTGTTTATTACAAGCCAGATATTAGGAAGACGTACTACCTACCTAGAACGTAGACAGCGAAGGTGGCAAAGATTCGAGATCTTTATTGACAAGAATCAGGACAGACAGACGATCTTCAAAATTGGGTAATATCACTTTAAAATAACGTAGAGCTCCGTAAATGATTGCAAATAAAAATAACTAGATAGAGGTACCTACTTACAACGATTTCTCTCAAATTAAAGATTGCTAAGTTTTTTTTAGTTAGTTTTTTTGTCAGTGAGTAAATACTAATAAATAGTTCATTGATAACAATAGGTAACCCAAGTTCACGCCTATCGTGAATCAAATTATTTGTAAATGAGGTCAAGGATCTATTTATGTAAATCTGTTTTAAGTATTTAAGAAATTATTGTTAGTAAGTTATGAAGATATAGGCACCTACTATACATCTCAATATCTATTTCGTATCTGTTAAATACCTGCAAAACTTAAGTATCTAATATAGCCTGCGTGAAACACATAAAATTTTTGCTAAATCAACTGGAACAAAATAGAGAGAAAGTAGTTAAGAAATTACGCACGTTTATTTCCATTAAACTGGTACATTAATATTGTGAATATTAGGTACAAAATTACACCATGTGAAAGTTCGGATCAGTTTGCAGAGTTATACAATGTGGGTACTAAATTTTATGTGGCCTTAATAAGTGACAATGTAGTAAATATTACTATGATGGTAATTTAAAATTTACGAACTGCTACGAAACCCTAATTACGTAGTAGCTGATAGCTACCAACCAATTGGAGAGAACCCGACAGTCGATTAAGAAAGATATTGGAATATCGTAAGAAATAAAAGAAACTCTACATTTTCTCCGCTTATGGTTAACTAAATGCTTATTAATATGTTTCAGTTCTGATCGAGGTGCAGAATGAACCACATCCGCGAGTTAGAGGGGGACCACTCGACGGAGACTACATATTTAGTCAAATGCACTTTCATTGGGGAGACAATGACACCTTCGGTTCTGAGGACAAGATCAACCATAGAAGGTGAGAAGAGAATGTATTTATTTAGTTATTTACGAATATTATTCACAAATTAGGTCAAAAAGAACATGTCCTTTATTTGACAAACAAGAATAGATTGTAATTTTTTGAGGAAAAAAATAATATAAATACATTGTGTAAGCAAATAATCTACTTTAAAGGTGAATAAAATTTATGCATCGTGATGTTTACGATGTTACCATTTTTGGGACAATTTTAATGTAAGTCAGGTGATTCGTATGTTGTGTAAGTTTTGTTTAAATTTCCAGTTTCCCTATGGAATTGCACATGGTGTTCTTCAAAGAGGAGTATCAATCAGCTGCGGAAGCTGTGAAACATTCAGATGGCCTGACAGTGCTTGCATTCTTCTACGAGGTCAGTTTTAAATACACCTTTTATGTGCATGTTTATTAACATAGTCTTGATACAAGAGGTGCGAATACGCTGTGCCGTAGCGACGTAGATAGCTTACTAGGGCATCTAAGTAATGCCGTTGTACTTTAAACATTCCTATCGTCAACGTTTACGTATGGAACCGAGTTATCGCAGCACGTGCAAGTTAATAGCATTGATCAATCGTAGACCGGTGGCTGCCAAATGTGTTGATATGATTACAGCCAGACAACTAGGAATATTATAGGTACTCAAAGTCTAATTCATCACATTTGGCGCACTGCCGTCGTGTCTTACATTTAGGTAACATTGACACAAATTCATTGTTGTAGCTGATACAAAACGATAAATTCGCAACTGGTTTTCATCAATGAAATGGTAGATAGAAATGGAATAACGAGCTTATCTGCATATTTAATGTTTGTACTTACTAGTTACCAATCCACATCACCATTAGGTACCTACCCAGTACCCTCATAATTTTTCAATAACATTATGTAGCTAAGTTATTTCAATAATATACGGGTAACCGGGGCTCCGGCTCGACGTGCAGGAGAAGGAACGGGGTGGTTTTTAGTCAGTAAGAGTCTGACACTCCCTCCCGCCTCCCCCAGGCGGAAGCAGTCATTCGATGATTTAAAGCTCTATCTATACCTACCTACCTATATTTTTTTAGGTTTTAGAAATGTCTGACTTGTAATGTTATAGCGGTTAGTATACCTATGCCTTACCGGTGTAAAAAGTAGGTAACCTACCTATCTATTAATGTGTTATTCTAGACATCTAGACTATAATCTATCTCTGGGCCAAATAGGTATGATAGATTTAGTCGATTAGGTTAGGTAGTCTGCTTGTTGATCTACTTTTATTTCGATTTACGCAACTCGCTCAACCGTTGTTTCAGAATAGAACATAGTACCTAGTTAACTATAGTAGTCACTTTCGAGCGCTAGCCGTGACTTCCGAGTCCAAAGTCACGGTCAATGTTCGAAAGTGAATGAACACAGCAGATACGCTTAGTTTCGCTTCAGGTCCCAAATTGTACTGATTTGGATCATCGAATTTTAAGTCATACAATACCTGTTGGTTTATGGACCATTACTCATATCGTACTATGTATTACTGTGCTCCACTTTAATAATTATTATGTACGTATGCTTAGAAGCCAGTTATTATGTTGAAAATCTTAACTTACGATTGTACCTACTGTTTCAGTTGGATCGCCACCAGCACCCTGCTTATGACGATATAACATCAGCACTAGTAAACGTCACGGAACCTCATACTAGTGTGGTGATGAGTCACCCGTTCTCGTTCCTCAACATCTTGCCTTATGACCTCAAGAGGTACTTCACTTACAAAGGCTCGCTTACCACTCCACCCTGCTCCGAAGTCGTCATCTGGCTAGATTTCGAACAACCCATCAGGCTTACACATGGACAGGTATAACTTTTGCATTTATAAGTATGTAATCAATAACTTAAAAAAGGATACCAGTTCAGCTTCTAGTTTAGAATTCTTTGGGTGGGGTAGTAAAAAAAATCTGACAAATTTATTTTCTTAGCTTCTCAAGAAGGTGAAATGTCAGTATGGTGTCACTCCACTAGTCTTCTATATCTTATTGATGATGTGACACAAACTAGCCCCATATTGGGGTTTTTAGAACTATTTTACACATTGTGGCGGGGAGCCAGTGAATAAAGGTTACGAGTTGTCATTAAACATGGAAGACTAAGGGGAGGCCTTTGTCCAGCAGTGGACATCTTTCGTCTGTTGTTGATGGTGATGATGTCATTGTTAATAGGGAATCAACTATTTTTCCCACACCATTGCATGTTGACAATATAACACTGTTTAATAAATAATATTTCTAATATTTACAGATAGAAGCCTTCAGAGAGATAAGATCAGCGCATGGGAAAATAACACATAACTTCAGGCCGATACAGCCAATCGGCGACAGAGTAGTGTTCTATAATATTGACAATAATTACTATATTTACAATGAGATTGACGAACGTGAAGAAACTACGACTGGAAAGCCATCGAAAAGAAAAAAGGGTCGCAGCAGCGCTAACCGATTAGTTCCTACAATTGTATACACAATGACTTTTACTATATTGCTGTTATTTAGCTTGTGATAATTTGTGAATATCTGTGTATAATCAACTAACAGTAATATTTTCTTAGAACTTGTATTAGTCTAATAGAATTTTGCTACTTAAGATGTCCTTAATTTAATATCTGTTGTATGAATGTGAATGAAAAAATACTTGTATAGAGTAACATCTAATTTATAATATCATTTAATTAAGTACATCCTATTTTGTGTAGTTACTTTTATATTTCTAATTGCAAGTAGGATAATAGGATTAGATGAATGAATGTATTGGTATTCTTTGCTGACATCTATATGCTTCCCCGATGGAAATATTCAAAGCACATAATACATTAACAGTGAAATGAGAAACTTAGTAAATTTTGTTGGCCAGTCATCACACCAAAATGTATTCTAACTTCTCTGTAATAAGTAACAAATTACCAGCAGCAAAGTTAAACCATTACTAATTTGTTGTCTCCTAATTAAGTTAATCATTAGACAAAATTTACAAAACATGATGACTGACTTAGTTAATTTTTTGTTTCTAACAAAGAATATACAAAATGTACACTATTTATTGTATACTGTGATATTAAACTAATTGATAGTGTGGAATTGAAATTCTGTGCAATAAATTTCACCTACAAAACTTAAAACTGTTTTCTTTTAAAATTACCTACAATATAAAAATACTGATTCGTCTCCCATACAAAAAGACTTGATTGAACTGACTAGCCATAGTAATATTTTGAGAAGAAAAAGATAATAATTATGCTTATTTATTTTACTTACAAATAACTTATAAATAATTTCATCAAATGTATTTGAAACATGTATCAGTCTTCGTCAGTAGCTCTGGTTTCTGACATGGTGACCATGGCTCCAAGATTGTCTTCATTGCCCTGTTTCAACCGTTCCCATATCAATTCTGCAATAGCTTTTTGTGTTCTCCTCTCTAGTTTTTCCAGTTTCTTAGCCACATCTCTTTTGAGGTCCCAGTCTGGTTTTCGAGGTGCTAAACTTGATATGTCCAAGTCTTGTAACACTATCTGAAAATATCACATTAAATTCCATTAGTTTTATACTCCAGAAGATACAGACCAAACAAAGGTTCATAAAAATATTATTGATGTTAAACACATCTATCTGTCTATAAAAGTGGTAGTTTGTATATAACTTGCAGTGTCGTGTCAGCCACTGTAATGTCATGTTGTGGTGGCCCAAAGGTTTATGACGCTTATCATGTATCATGTATGAGAGTGCCGGTTTGAATCAATGTGACTTTTTCCGATTTTATGTATTTTCTAAGATTATCTAGACACCACTGACAAAAGGTAAGGTAAAACATCGTAAGGAAAACTAGTCTTATAATTTCTAATTATAAGTTTGAAAACGCCAACTCGCATTGAGCAAGTGTGGTTATTAAAGCTCCAACCTTCTTCATGTGAGAAAAGGCCCTTGGTCAGCAGTGGCCACTTATAGGCTGTTGATAACCTGATAGCTAGAGTAGTTACCATAAAGAAAGCAATGTATTTAGCACTTTAAGATTGGTAGTATAAACATTAAACCGTATATCCCCAAGTCGACACCGGTGACCGCTCTCCACTAACTACATTATAGACCTTATTTCCAATGTGTAGAGACTACTTTTGTATGAACAAATTTAGGGGATGATTTTCAACAATTTTCAATGGGTAAGTACCTTTTCTTTCCCTGCTTCAAGCAAGTCTTTAACTTCAGCTTCTACTGCTGCAGGCTCAGCATCTTCTAATTTGGCTTCTAAGAGTGAGTCGTCCTGTGGTTTGTAGCTCCGGAACTTTGGCCTGAAATAAGAAGTTATTGCATAAGTTTATAGTCTGGTCCAAAATACTAACACCAAAACTACAATGTAATTAATTACCTAACTGCAACAATTCAAACCAGCGTCTTAACGGTTATAGCAGATTGTGGAATTTAACATATTATAATAGGTGCACAAACAAAACATAACCTCAATATCTTCTGTACTGGAATGAAACTTACTTGGGAAGTGGTACAAAGTCAGCAGGCGTATCATTCGATGAACTTTCATTATTAGGATTCTTGCGTTTCAAATTCTTTAGTCTTTCTTTTCTTTTTAGTGCTTGTTCTTCTAAAGTGCCAACACTTTCGCCTGTGTCCATTATAACCATGATTGTAATTGTTTGTGTCCACTACAATTATATTTTAATAAAAAATTGGATATCTAATTCCAAACTTCAATTAAAATAATATTAAGTAATACTTAAAGTTTAGAGAAAATGAAGAATTTAATAAAATAACAAACCAACTTTGTCTATGTCAGTTGCCCTTTCAGACAATTATTATGACAGTTGGTTGTTGACCTTGACATTTTAAACGTTGCCAACATAAAAATTAAACTAGCAAAAGTTGCAAAGCAAAGAATCGCAACTTATTTCCTGCTTGGTAGGCTGAAGGGGGATTGTATCAAGCGTTTAATGTTGTATTGTAAATATTGTAATGTCGTTTTTCCATTTCACTGTTATTTACAGAGAATAAAATAAGCAAGTAAGATTCACAATTCTAATTATTGACTGACTGCTTTTTTATACCTTCGCTACAAATGTGTTTATAGCTTTATAGTAACCATAGACATATTTTTTTTTCTGTAGTGACTGTATGTATTCATTGGACTTACCGTACCTAGACAGAGAATAGATTCTCTGTCTACGACCAAAGAGTATAATAAGTAAAGGTCTACGACTTACACTGATACCCAATACCCGAACCCAAACCTATCCATGAGATGACATAGTTTTATAAGATTGTTTTAAAAAGGCGGGAAATTGAACGAGTCATTTAATGCTCGTTCTCATCGAGAATCAAAGCTGAGATGCGGCTACGAATAAATTCTTTTGTAATGTTATATTATGAACAAATAATACGGATAGTGCATAAATTTAATTTTTATATTCAAAAGATGTTGGGTTCTGACGAAATCTAATATTGCTCTCACAGTATAGGTACACATTTGGATTGCAATATCGTGTTTAATAAAAAGAGGGTAGGTAAGTATTTTTCGTTTTGTCCGATTCAAATTGTCTTATTTCATGTATTTTAACACATGGTCATGTGTTGATACACTTCGATAAGTGACTAAATACTATGTTACTCCCTTTTGAGGTAGGTATTTGACCTTATATTAGAAATATTAAATAAGTACTAGCATTCGCTCGCGTTAAATTCGGGGTAGCACTAGCACGGTTCCCCTTTCCTACTAACTAATAATATAGTCTATAGACTATATTTTATAGATTATATTATATGTCTTTCCATTTGGCGTCAGAATAAAAAGATTCTGGGTCTTGGACACACGTGAACATGCTACATACATGCTACGTCCATGGGAAAAGCACGGCTTTTCTATGTTCACCCCAACCATCTTTAATGTTTGTCCTCGCGCTTTGTTAATAGTCATTGCAAAACTAAGCTATTGTAGCCTTTTAAACTGGAACGGGAGATTTGTGGGAATTATTAGGAGTCGTGGGATTTTCACCCTTTCCTACCTACACTGAACTTTCTTACGGTATCCTATAGAGAGGACGACTTGAGACATGCTTTAATTTCGTCTGTAGGTCTGTGCCCCCTGCTGAATGACTGGTAACGTCGTTAGTAACAAAGAATCTGTGTGCCAATTTTCCTGCCATAACACCTGCGAAAAATTTTACCCCCTCTTTTAAGGGGTTGGATGAAGATTAATATAAAATGATTTGATTTTTTTGGTAGTCATAAATAGGTAGCATACCAATTTTTAGCTTCCTACCTTGAAAATGGCGGATTGCTTTATACAAACTTCCACCCCCCATTTTGGGGAAGTGGGGTGGTTAGAAAAAGGCAAAAAGTACCCTATGTTACTCTCCATCCCTTCAACTATATCTATTCTGAAAGTCTATCTATAGTCTGAAACACAGGTTCAACCTAGTTCAGGCAAATAAGCAACTGAGCTCTAATCAAATCGTTAAGATACGATTAGATAAAATAAACAACTTATTATTATTATTATTTATTATTATTTGAAATCACGTTAATTCGTCGCTCCGTTTTGAAAGAATGACAACAATACAAACAGACAGACCCACATTTATAATATTACTATGGATTATGTCGTGGTGGCCTTGAGGTTTAAGACGTCCGCTTCTCATACACAAGGATTCGGGTTCGAACCCTACCAACGGCAAGTACCAATATAACTCGTTCAAACTTTGAAGGAAAACATTGAGGATCTTATATCTTATTATATTATAATTTATTATTAGCTTATAATTTCGAATTATAAATTTGAAATCGCCGACCCTCATGAAGCAAACGCTTGCTTCATGAGGTGATTAAAGCTCAAACCTTCTCCGTGCAAGAAGAGGCTTTTGGTCAGCAATGGCCACTTATAGGCTGTTGATGATTAATAGACGTAACTTTTAGACATTTTTAGGTAAATATAAGTACTAAATTAGGTAGAGGTTTTTTATATAGGTACTTGTTCTACTCAATTGTAAGTTTACCTATGTATTTGCCAAACACTTACAAGTGTGGGAGAGCCATGCTTCGGCACGAATGGGCCGGCTCGACCGGAGTGATACCACGGCCTCACAGAAAACCGACGTGAAGCAACGCTTGCGTTGTGTTTCGTCGTGTGAATGAGGTTACCGGAGGCCCAATTACCCTCCCCCTCCCCAATCTCTCCAATACTTGAATCCCCATAGATCCTCAAACTCCTAATCCCCGAAAAGCCGGTAACGGACTTGTAACGCCTCTGGTGTTCCAGGTGTCCATGGGCGACGCCGATTGCTTACCATCAGGTGATCTTGCTTTCCGGCTTATGCCATAAAAAAAACTTATTGAGGGGTGGGATGGCTAGATTGGTTGATATTTTTAGTATTATAATTTTTATAAAATAAACTCAAGTAAACTCGTGAAAGACGTTTATTTACAAAGATCATTATCAATATTTATACCTACATGTGACTTCTATGTATTTATAACAATTTTACTCATGGTGATACGTTGGTAAATTGTTTTACCGTGTAGTTACTCATGCATGTATTATATTAATTAAACTATTGAAATTAAATTTAACATTTTATTACAACATACAAATTTAAACTTAAGTAAGCAAATATGTAATATCATGGTAATATGTTGAGAATGCTTTCTACGTATTTAATGTGGATGGCATCATAATCTACATGATCATAATTTACCATAATGCTTGTTAATGGGATGGGAAGACCTTTTAATGTTTGAAATAACTTGGATTAAAGATAGCCGAGAGAAATAACGCAACTTAGATATTTATATCTAATTGTAGGGAGATATATTTTTTTTATTGTGGTTTGGCTAAAGAAATAATAAATGTAAATAACTTAATATAAGTATAGGCCTACTTAAAGCTAAACTCATATAATAATTAAGAGTAGGTAGGTACTCAACGATTATTTAAGTTTTAGTACACAATTTTCTTTTTAAACTTATTTAATATTATTATACTGGAGATATAAACAATTTGCAATAATAATAAAGTGCATTCGTGTACTGCATTAATTATTCATTAGGTACCTACTACATATTTTTATTAATCATTGTAGCTTAACTTATGTATATCTATTTAAATGTCACGACCATTACTTATATTTGGTTGCAACATAGTATGTATTATGTCATTCTGTTTATTTACGCAGATGCCTATTATAATCTAACTGAATATATATAATACTATGATCTAGGTAATCAGGATCAGGGACAGGATCTGATAGAAATTTTTTAAGCTTTTTATACCTGTGGGCCTGTGGGGTTATGAAATGTTTCAAAACAGTACTTAAAATGTGCAGTGACACAGAATGCGTGTTATAAAACAGGTATTCTGCATTACGACAATATTTTCCGTAAATAGACATATAAAGCTGCACCATTACTGTCATCATTTTCTTAACTATACTACTTATGGCAGTTCATATAACATATTATCCCGTAAAATAAATAATTAACTTAAACTATAATAAAACAGCGTAGAAGACTGGTACAACGGCACGGCGTTCTGTTATTTTTAAAATACTTTATGTTTCTGTGTTTCTTTGGTTATTTTGTCTTAATATGAAAATTTTGTAATTGTTCAAAGCTGTGTTTTAAAAGTATGAGATTTACAATCATAACAAACATGACTCTAACGCCAAATTAATTGTAAACTTTTCGATATAATGCTGCCTTAACGGTAAATACAATAATTTTGAACTGAAATTTTCTCTTCCTTATCCTTATTTAGTCATTTTAAAATGTTGAAACTATTCTTGATTAAATAAGCGGCCTTACATGCCTCCGACTGTCGAAGGGTAATCTATTAGAGATATTGTTAGTTACTGCCACACCATGATTCAATGACAAAACTTTAGATACAATGTTTAAATCTTCCTGGTTTCTGCCATTTAAACCATTTTGAACGAGCAATTGTTTCAATTCGGCATCGGCGTTGTTATAGTGGACATGGCCGTTTATAGGAAAGAAACGATTTGTATGAATTGGATTATAAGTGTTAAACGTATTATAGTTTTGATTATTCAAACCAAAATTGCCGACACCACTATCTTGTCTGAATACCCGATGATTTTGTTTTTGCTGGCCAAATTGATCGTTAACACCTCTAACTTGATTAAAATTTAATCCTTGGTGAAAGTTCTGACCTGAGGTGGGATGTAGAAAGTTACTGATTCCTTGAGGCAAATGGTTTTCCTGTAATGGAAACTGATCAGGCTGTTGACTGTGTAGATGTATGAGAAAATCAACAGCTTCACGATTTGGTAACTGTTGGTTTGTAACTGTGCTACTTGCTTCTAATGGTACACTGGGTTGAATAGTTACCTGACCGTTAGATCTAATTGGCGAATTCACAAATTGGTTCTGAGGAATATTTTTCTGGACTTGAAAATTATTAACAGAACTCTGTGCCTGGAACTTCTGAGAATTCAAAAGGATTTGCTGTCGCTGTGCTTCCTTTTGTTGTAAAAGAAATTGTTGTTTCCTTAAAAGTTCTTCTTGTTGTCTTTGTTGCTGTTGTAAGAATCGTAGTTGTTCCTCGAGAATTCTTTGCTTTTCTTCGAGTTGCCTTTGTAATAATAACTGTTGATTTATGTAATCTGATTGGGGTATTTGATTCAAATTTACACTTGGAATTATTGAACCTAGAGGTTGAGAATGTAAAACTCCAGATGCCAAATTAGTGACAGGTAGCGGTCTCATAAAGTTTTGACTAGATGTTTGTTGATAAAGTGGTATTACTTTTTTCGGTAGACCTTGTGGATCCTGATGAACCGTAAAAGCTGCAACTAAAGGCGCTTGATATACTTGAACGTCGCGTTTATCGACTTCTTCAATATTTTCTCCATCTTCATTATGGGTCGGTTTCGGAGTAGTGGTCGTTGTAGTAGTCGTAGTCGTTGTTGTCGTTGTTGAAATGATAGGCTTAATTGTCGGCTTTTTGATGTTGTTTTCAGTGTTCGATTTAGAAGCACTGGCTATACTTCTTGTTTGTAATAAATTGTTGTCACCTTCTTTTGTTTGAAATATTTCCGGAAATGGAGCCGATGTTGGTAAAGTCGCTGTAACTTGACTTTCAACATTACCTGCCGTAGTGCTCAATATAGATATATTGTTGTCAACTATGGTGGGTACGCTGGTGGAATTATTAGAGAAGGCGGATTGTCCATTGACTATAAAGGAATGAATCTGTATCCCTTCTTTATCTGTTTGAGCTTCAGGAGCTTCTTCTCCTGTAGTATAAGCATCTGAATCTAAGCCTGTAGTTCCATCAAGAAGTTCAGTTCCTGTAGTGGACTCTTCAAGTTCACTGAGAGCTTTAAGTAAGGCTTTTCGGATGTATGGATCCAAACGTACTGATGGTTTTGGCTCTATCGTATTGAACTGCTCATTGTAACTTTCAGTAGTAGTATCTTCAGCCAAACTCAGCGATAACAGAGAAAAGAGTATCAACGCCAGCATCTGTGAACAAATATAAAACAACCATTAGTCATCATTATAAAATAATATGTAGAATATGCTCTAAAAAAGTAAAGGTATTTGAGCTAAGAATTAAATAATTTGGTTTACATATTACAATAGAGCAAAGTTTGTAATATATAAAACAAAACCATTTAGTTTGCCACGACACTCAACAAGAATTTAGGTACACACAAAAAAGCCCATGGTGCGTCGCAGCGCAAAAGGCTGGAGCTCAGCTTAATATTTAATACATCTAACATAATTTACACAATGCCTAATTAGATTATTTTTCTAACTTTTTATTTTCTAGTTCTAGTATTTTCTAATAAGTTTTAAGAACCCTCTAGATTTAATTTCAATTTCAAGTAAACAAAAAATTGTTCTTTACCACTACATTTCTATTGTGAGGCAATGACTTGTATCTAGGTAATGCTTCTAAACCCATGCATTCAATGCGTTATTATTGTAGTCTTTACCAACTGATACTTCCACATTTCCATCATTTCAGTTTTTGTACACAAGTGCGTTTGGTTGGATTTCATTGTTTGTGTAATGTGGTACAATGGCTGTTTTCTTGCGGATCGATTGCATAACGTTAATGGTATTAACGTATTGAATGTGATTAAACTGTATCCTGACTTTGTGTAGATATATTTCGTATCGTTACCTGTGACTCTATACCCAAGTACTTTTTAACAGTTTTTTATCAGAGAACAATAAATTCAAAATTAGAATCTCATCAGAACTTTGCTCTCGTAAATATTTAATTTATAACATAACATAACATCACGCCTTTTTATCCCCGAAGGGATAGGCAGAGGTGCACACAGAAGTAACACCCACTTTTCACTATTTATGTTATGAGTCCCATGTAATAGGGGGTGAGCCTATTGCCACATTTCGAGACTCCGTGCTACTTCTGAGATTTTATTACCCAGTAATACTTTGCCCGACCCGGGAATCGAACCAGAGACCCTTTGCCCGGCAGTCGCAATTGCGACCACTCGGCCAACGAGGCAGTCTTTTATTTTATTACTGCTATAATATCTATCTATAGATTTTAGCATCGAAAAATAAACTAATAGTCAATCACATTAATTACGATTTGCAAAACTCATCATCTATTGTATCAATATTCAATATGTTACGCATGCTTAGTTAAGCACAAAAGAATTTGATTACGTATGCGTGACCTCTGAAATATGTGAAAATGCGTGAATAGTAGATAGCAGTAGATACACACACCTCATTTATCATCACCCGTTAATTAATCTTATTGTAATGTTTCCATTGTTCCAATACTGTTGATTTTTTGGTTATAAACTGATGGCATATTTTTTACATACCTACCTATGGTCGCAAAATAAAACATAGTTTTTTTTAATGGCATAAGCCGGTAAACGAGCAGACGTATCACCTGATGGTAAGCAATCGGCGTCCATACCTGGAACACCAGAGGCGTTACAAGTGCGTTACCGGCCTTTTAGGGATTCGGAGTTTGAGGATCGTTGGGGATTCAGAGATTGGGGAGATTGGGGAAGGGTAGGGTAATTGGGCCTCCGGTAACCTCACTTACGCGACGAAACACAACGCAAGCATTGATTCACGTCGGTTTTCTGTGAGGCCGTGGTATCACTCCTGTCGAACCAGCCCATTCGTGCCGAATCATGGCTCTCCTACACTTTAAAACTTAGTTAATTCTGGCTAGAAAAGCTAGACTATTAGTTCGTAAGACGTTACAATAAAAATACTCTGTAGTTAGCTATTTTTGCAACTCGTAATTTTTGCACTTATAATGAAATGCATGGTGAGTTTTACGTATATGAAATTGTCGCGAGTTTCCTGAGCGTAATACATGGCTATCATTTTCCAGCCAATTACTTTAAAAAATAAAGATTGAGGCAGTTTGTTGTTGCATTGCACGTAACATCATAACATCACGCCTTTTATCCCCGAAGGGTAGGCAGAGATGCACATTACAGCACTTTATGCCACTGTACAATATAACACCCACTTTTCACTATTCATGTTATGAGTACCATGTAGTTCGGGTGAGCCTATTGCCATTTACCGGGCAAAATTCCAGACTCCGTACTACTACTGAGAATTTTCGAAAAATCCCGTTAATATTTTGCTCGACCCAGGAGTCGCACTTGTGAAACTCCGCCAACGAGGCAGTTGCAATTAAGTGTGTTTTAAAAAATCGTATTAGGTACCTATGTTTCCAATCACCATATTGTACTTAGGTATTAGATCCATCATCCAAATGGGGTCTATTTGTGGGTAATTTATATAAATGATCGCCATTTTCACTCATTATTATGACGTTCTTGTTTATAAAATAGTTTAGTTAAAATTAACATATAATTTATATTTAGATTAACTTGACTGTAACTTATAAAATACATAGGACATTTAAAGTTTAGCTATGTATTCTCACTGACTGTCGATGAAGTTCCCGCTGTCTAAGTACGGAATAGCTCCTATAGAAAGTTAGAACAAACTGCCAACGGTCAAAGGTTACAATATTGGTCGTTGTATTCTGTATTACCCATAGCTAAACCTAGTAAGAAGATTTTATTGATAGAATTTTTAATCTTTATCGTTTGTGTTGTTATTTGCAGGCTTATTTATTGTAGACATTGACAGCCATGTGACTTGTGAGTAATTATTAAAAGTATGATGGGGGCCGGCGGCTACTCGCAAAAGTTATGTGACGTCCGAATCATCACTTTCACCAAGCATAATTCACGGAGAGACGTCTCTCGCCGAATGTCAAATTCAATAACGTATCTTTGGCACACCTACACGGACTCAAAAGACTGTGACATAAGCCTGGGACTCGGCGACGTAAACTTCTCATGCATGCTTGACATATTTCCTTATCACATGTATTGTTATTTCTCTCTGAAGAAACAATGATTAAATAATATGTAAGTACATATATTGTACAATTATTTGAATAAGACTATTTTAGCTGCGTGTGTGGGTGTATCGTTATGTCCTTTAATATTATTTGGCATTGTTAAAATACACAAAAATGAGTAACTTAATTGCATTTCTGAACATTTGCAAGATGCCACTATAAGATAGCTTTGTTTAAAATTATTCAAGTTTACATAGAGTTATATTTGAGAATAGCAATTTAAAGTGCTGTAAAAATATTTATAATGTAGTTACAAACTATAAAAGTGCAGGAATACTACACTAGTATTTGACCTACTTGCATATTAATCAGTTGTGTAATGTTTAATGTAAGATGTTATTTGTACAAGTATGACAAATATTTTCCTAATTACTGTGAAAAAATCCGGATGCGAATCGTCGGAAGTTATTTAGAATAGGAGGATTTCACACGGGTTTTATGTGACGCTATTACGTCCGTAAATCCGCAATAACTTCACATGAAACCTAATTTAGGTAAACTTGTTAAGAAAAGTACATGTGAAGTTACACCTACACCTACTTATGAAGTTTTCTTTAATAGAACATGAAGTATGTACTTATATTATACGTATAGTACCCTAATAGATATGTATGTGTAATAGATACCTTAAAGCTTTTTGTAATCCTTTACAAAAGCTTTAACTGGGTAATTACATAATGTATTCGGTCGCTTCTCGGTAAAAACAGCCCGGAGCATTTGTAAATGGTGTGCCTATTATTTGGTATCAAAGGTCGGACATGAAGTCGTGAACACTTCTCATGTCAAAACAAAGTCATCAATACATTTCTCTTGTTGCAGTCACGTATGAAATCTCAATAATAGCATTTGGAATTGAAGTACAGTTGTATTGCAAAAATACATAACATGTAAATATGTTTAACTTGGAAAAATTTGTCGCTTACTTTCTTATTTACTCGTACATACATACATGCGGTAGGTTTCAAGAGGAAAACGGTTATTGGCGTTTTTTCCTCATAAACGCAAAGCATGACGTTATGTAATATGGTTTACAAGTCAAAGTGTACCCATAATCCTATATTACGTAATACTTATACCAACGGTAACGTACGAGAAGCAGTATCGGTGAAACCTTCCAGTCGACTTGAAATCGAATGCTTGACCCGCACCCCTACCAGGTTGTCGATGAATATTTCCATAAAGTAAGCACCTGTGACTTACCTTTTAAGGTTTATGATTTTTGTGTATTATGTATAACCTTTTTTTAAAAAGTTCAACCATATCACAATCTATTAAGTACTATAAAGATTTCAAGAATAGTTCCCATTATTTTTACTTTCCCTTTGAGTAATACTATCTAATAATGTTCATTAACGTAATGGTTATCTATTAATCCTTTATTTACTAAATCAGTTAATGTAGAGGTCACTGACATTCCGAAACACATAAATAAATATGTACTCAATCTACGTAGTTACAAACATCACGTGAGAGTGACCGGTCTCAGATCGTCGTTTGTTTTTGTCGCGTTCCTCCTACATGATGCACTTAAGTCAGTGTGGGAACTGACACACCGGAGCCGGTTCCAACTTCCAGAAATAGGTGTATTTTATTACGCCTATGCTCCAAGGCAATAACAATGTTAAACTACAATAGCACTTAATTACATAAGACGTTATTGTCAACAAATATCAAATTCGCTTTCTATGGTTGGCAAATATTACTTCGTTACATCAAAGGACTTGGTATTCGTCTTGCACGTATCGATTATTATCTATTGACAACGTATTCATCTCATCGCTGCTTTGAATGCTCGACCTCTTAAGTTGTTGAATAGATCGGACTGGATCTCCTATTACAATGTTTAAATTGACACTAATCATTAGTTATACGGCTTTGTTGCATTTATATGAATGTGCAAAGCGTCGACGTGTTATATGAAGTTATGTCTTCATCAAGACTTTATAAGAACGTCAATTACTCGTTGAGGTTGATTTTTGGCTACCGTCTTATTATTATGTTACTTACGTGGAGACCAGTTATGTCCATTTTGATTAGATAACAAAATACTTGTATAAAACGACGTGCATTTCCT